ACCGCATAACGGTGCCTCCCACTCCTAACCCACCGAGACGTCGCAGCATGATATCGTGGTCTACGGTATCAAAAGCTGCTGAGAGGTCCAAAAGAACAAGGACAGAGGAGTATCCCCTGTCCCGGGCCCTCCAGAGATCATTAACCAACGCGACCAATGCCGTTTCCGTGCTGTGCCCCGGCCTGAAGCCCGACTGGTATGGGTCTAGATAGACTGTTGCAGCCTCTCCAGGGTCTTGTGATTTACATTCAGATGCTTGGCCACTGATTCATATTTATGACGGTCACAGTGTCCCAGGGTCATGTGAAGTGAGCAAAACCTGCTGCAACCACCCAGCAGACAGGGGGGGAAATAAAAACCAAACACCCCCCACCCCACCCCCGCTGCCAATCCTCAACAGAAATGTTCACAACAATAAAAACCTCGGACAGGAGGAAGAGCGCGGCCGGGCGGGCAGGGGTCTTGCTCGGCTGTGGCTTGGGGGGGCACTTTTTTCAGTGCCATTGTAACTTCGAACAATAAGCGAACTGTTGTAAGTCGAGGACTACCTGTACTTCATCATTTTTTTCCTTTTTTGTTTTTGTTTTGGTCATCAAGTTTTTGATACCTTGCTAGGCGACTGGTGGTCCTCGGATGTTGCCCTATCCTAAAAGTGGCACAATGGGTGAAAAGGTTGAAAAGCCCTGGACTAGAAGACCTCCAAGGTCCCTCCCAACTCGGTTATCCTGCTACCTGTTATCAATTCACCAGTGGAACAACTCGTCTCCAAAAATTGTGGGTGTTCCATCACAGGAGGTTTGCAAGAAGAGAGTGGACAACCGTTTGTCTGAAACGGCAGGGGGTCTCCTGCTAGAGCAGGGGGTTGGTCTAGAAGACCTCTGCGGGGTCCCTTTCAAGTCTGCTGTGCTGTATACAGAACCGCTACCTTTTATCTTGGTTAATCCCTTCCCAAAGATTTAGTAGGGGGTGATAATTTGCAGCAGAACATTCATCAGTGGCAGCTGAAGGACTGGGCAAGGTGTCAGCAGCTGCAACATCCTAACCAAACTCTGTCTCTGTGTGTGTGTCTGTGTGTGTGTGTCTGTGTGGTGGGAGAGTTATTTAAGGTCCCTCTGATCCCATTAGCCCCCTCTTGTTTGCTTCGACACGGCTGCTTGCGTTTCCTGCCGGAGTGCAGAAGTCAAGATCAAACGGGGACTCCGGAGCTTTAGGTGCAGCTAAATCACCCCGTGTTGAAAAACAAAATATAATTAGGCAGCTGGAAAGGAACGGGGCAGCAGTCTCGTAGACCCCCACCCCCTGTTCTTTCCCTGACACACACCCCCTCCCCAAACCGGAATGTGATAACGCGTTCAAAAGCTTTAGGAATGAAAAAGGAAATATTTCGCTAATCTTCCTTTCAGAAGGAAACCGGACAGCTGGACGGATGGAGGGCACTTCCAGAAGCCACGGGGGCCATTTGAAAAAAAAAAAAAGAAGAAAAAAAAAAAGATCAGAGATGAAATGAAAACGAAGGATTTTAAAATTGTTTTCGGGAACGGCGGGGCAGGGAGTGGGGGAAGAAAAAAAGAAGAAGGGAAACGGTGATTGACATCACTCGCCTTTGATGAAGGAAATTACGACAATGTTGTCTGCCCTGGTTCTCCGCTGGGCCGCAATCAAAGAGCGATCCCTTTCATCGTGAAAAGCTGAGCCGAGCGCAGACCGGGGGGGGGGGGGGGGGCTTCCCACCACCTGCAACCCATCCCGATGCCAAAAAAATGAGGGACGGCCTGTCTAACTTTGCCAGGAATCAATCCATCAGAATAGAGCTGAAAGGGACCTTGGAGGTCATCTAGTCCAACCCCCGGCTCAAGCAGGAGACCCTATGCCATTCCAGACAAAGGGTTGTCCAATCTCTTCTTAAAAACCTCCAGGGATGGAGCACCAACAACTTCTGGAGGCAGGTCGTTCCACCGGTTAATTGTTCTAACTGTCGGGAAATAACAGAATAACAGAGTTGGGAGGGACCTTGGCGGTCATCTAGTCCAACCCCCTGCTCACACAGGAGACCCTCGCTATTCTGCACAAATGGCTGCACAGTTTCTTCCTAAAATCCTCCAGTGATGAAGCACCCACGATATCTGGTGGCCAGCTGTTCCACTGGTTAATTGTCCTCACTGTTAGGGGCTTTCTCCTTAATTCCAGGCTGCTTCTCTCCTTGATTAGTTCCCAT